CGCTAGCCGATCCACTCACGACGGATTTCTTCCTTTATCCGCTTTCTTCGTTTCCCCCTGTCTAACCTGCACGCGCCTACGACGATCCTATCCCCGTGGCTTCCTTCGCACGCCAGCGCCACTGTTTCCAGTCCCCGCCGCAGATATAACGCCACCGCCATCCGGACGACGTCGAGAAGCAGGTAGCCTTGAAATGTCCCTACTCTGCGTGACGACCGACGATTTTCTCGTTCTTCTTTCTAATATCCCATGTGTTACGACAGTCCGTGTGTTGCCATCGCACCATAACACCCTTAATATCGAATATTACACCAATAAGAGGGCGTCATTCGGACGACTCGGCTCAGTCAATTTGTTGTTAACAGATGTCGTCTCAACGGGGACACGTGTGCAGCGCCAGAACAGGCTTGCTCAGATTTTGGACTTTGGGCGTGGGTTGCTGGATATATGGGCCTTTCGAAGAGGAATTTTTTGAGTTTTATATACTTAATATTTATGAGAATATGGAATGTTAAGAAAAGTAGGTGTTTACATTTATTCTATGCTTCTTCAGTGTTGGTTAGGTACCGATTGGTCTGCTTTCAATATTGTAGTTGTCAATTATTGATTGTAGCGTCAGCAGCATAGTGTGATACATATGTCTGCCTGAATTTCAAGGTCTGTTTTACCTACATCTATTCTGTATTAAACTTTACTTGCATTTAATAATAATAATCTCTGATCCATTTGTTACATAAGGAATTGCCTAGTATATTCAGTACACAGTTAACGTTTGAAAATCTTGTAACAATATATATAGTGCTACTACTTGTTGACAAATGCGCAATAAAAGACAAATATTTTGGAAATTGGAAACGATTCCTACCCCACACATTTTTTCTCAAGACATTCAGATCTGAGAAATAAAGGGAAAGTTTTTAGAAACCTGATTTCGAAATAGTCAAACGTGATCACCCGCTCCCAAAAAGGAGCAATACTCGTACGCTTATATAATTCAACATCAACTTGAAAATTTCAAAGACACGATAAATATGCAAACGTGAAATAATATATTATTCAACTTTCCTATTCTATTTCATTCCACAAGGTATCCTCTGCACTCTATTGTTCCAAATTCAAACAGAGCGAAACGAATCGTCATCACACGATTGACGAAGCGAAATCAGTTTACACTGTAAATTACAATCGCGTTAAAGCAAACCAAATCGTATTCCACGGATGCGGGACCAACGAACGTGTCACGCGGATTCTACTTCTACTCACCTACGCCCCACCCCGGCCGCGCGCTGAAGCTCTGTAGCTGACTCCGTGGCACGTAGTCAGGCTGCAGCCGAAAGGGTGCGAGTGACATTTTATTAAGTACAGAGTTTCATGCTTCGAAGCAATTTAGACGTACACCGCGTGGCAGAAGTTTCATGTCGGTTTCCAACGTGCGGGAAAATCATTTGAATCTTGGATGGCGGTCGGTGATTTAAGGGGGTCTCATTTTGGACCTCCCTGTTCGCGAGTTCTCAAGCTTTGTAATTATGTATCGTTGCACAGGATCGTTTTGATGTAACGCTTCGTTACAGGGGTGTGCGCATATTTCCCCGACCGTGGGGAAACGACGCGAATGAGAACTACCCTGTGCACAAGTGAACTAATTGAGCTTGAACCACGTAACGCGTGCTCGCGTAATTTGTCGCTGCATATTTGTTTCCTTAAGAAGCTTCGAACCCGAGTTGAGATGAATCGCCGTGTGTTAGGGTATTAAGTACCATTGTTGCGTCTGAAGTCGTGAAACATTATTTCGTGGCAATGGGTTGGCATGAGTTACTTCGATTGTTTGTCTATTATTATATATAGCTTTGGGGAAGTTGTTTATCGATTTACTTTATTCGTACATATATACTTCTGGTTTTCCAATTCATAAGAAAGGAATTTCATACATATTCCTTGAATTAGGATGATATTAATTGTTTGCTACGCTCGTCACTAGGGGACTTAGTGCCTTATTTATTTGTTTATTTAAATGTGATTTTGCACAAATATTTATTACCTCGATAATTCTTTACTTTTTAAGGCTTCTTTTCATTACCTACCTATTATATTACGTTTACATTGTCTCAAACTAAAACTAATTTTTGCACATAAACTTTTACTTCTGTATCTGAATAATACTTGCATCTAATAAGCAACCCAGTAAATAAATAAAAAGTTTATTTCATGTATAATCCCAACGAACATTGCATTTATTGAAATGCCATAACTCTTGAATAACTTTGACAAATCCCAAGTCTTATAAATTTTTAAACTTTTATTACATAGAGTCCACGATAAACAATCGGCATTCTGAAACAAAACTGTCTCCTGCACTCGACAGTTCCAATGAATTACACAATACTAATGAAAAAGGAACGCAAAACGAAGAAGAAGGAGAAACATATCGAAGAAGGTAGGTAAAGCACGTTGCTTCGTAACGAGGCAAAATAATTGAAGCTTCATCCGAGTTAGCTGCTGTTAAACAAGTACCAAACAGTTAATTTCTGAACGAATGAAACTTCCTTCGATGCAAGATGAAAACGTTAAATAACTAGGCGAAGTTTTATTCCCTTACAATTACCGGGCAGTTGACGAAGAAATCAGAGAACGGCTGCGTTCCCTCGCTTCTCGTGGCGATTGTTCAGTCGCGAAATACTCTTTATTTCGATAAGAAAGTTTAATTCAGTTCTGTAAAGTCGCTTCCGCTGAAAAATCGTGTTCTTGGGAACCAACGTCGTTCCACTACCACCGCCGCCATCGTAGAAATATAATATTGTTCTTTAATCCTAGCACAATGTCCGCCCTGAATCGCGTCGCTTCGAAGAATCACTGTCAGAGTATACGTTTCGCGTGAGAAGTTAGGAAAGTTTTGTTAAAACTCCTTGCGGCCGTAATATATTTTCGCTAGCCACGTTACTTCTAAATTGGGATCAGGGCGGAAATGGTTGAGAGAACTGGATAAATCATGGAGGGCTAATTGTGTTCTTAAATATTCGGTGCTGTTCGATACTTTCTGCAAACCAAATGACCATGCATATCCTCATGCAAGGTACAGTCTGCTCTGTGAAAGGGAACAATGGTTATCCTGTTTGGGTTTCGAGAGAGGAGAATTGGAGAAGTTCATTAGTAGAATAGACTTTTGTGATGAAGGTAGCATAGGAAGAATGATTAGAAGAAATTGCCTTTCTCTAAATGTTGCACTGCTTTGGGAATACGTTGTTTGGAATTTTGAGGTACCTCAATGTAAGTTAGGCTATCATTTTTCCAGAGTATTGAAGTTTCCTTGATATATTAACTACTGTGTCGTTCAATAATGGCTATTAGTATAATTTCCGGGAAGATTTCAATTATTATAATAAAGAAAGCCTCATATATCCAATATAATAATAAATTATTACATAAACCATAATTAACAGTTAAATTTTGCAAATTCACTACCTCCATAATAGCGGGCGAAATTTCATGAGAAAAGATCCATCAAGCTAACCAGCTTAAGAAAACTAATTTTCAAAAAACCAACCACACCGACATTTAATTTCCTGCCTCCTCTACGTCTGCTTTAGCCATGGAAACTAGCTGGTATCTATTTCTGCTGGACCAAGCGAGCCTGGATATCCAATAATAAAGAAAACCTTCGGAAGCTTCCTCGAAATGTAATTTCCTGCCTTTTCCTGGAGAAAGGCGAATCGTTTCGCGTGAAAGAATTGCCTAATTCACCTTTCACGCCATTGAGAGTTAGCCTTCTATTCGTTCTCAATGGCTAGAATGCCCATAGGTGAGTCCTCGAATTCTCGAATATCTCGTTCACATGAGATCGAAAGCACTCGTTGCTCTGTCATTGTCTAGACGTTTCAGAGCGAATCGTGCATCGACAGTTCCCTTTCTTTCAATTGGAAAGCTCTGGCAATCTCGTTGGAAAGCTGGGAAGTTTTAACCTGACCCGATCTCTTATTGGATGTGGCCGATGTTCGCGAATCGTTAGTGATTCGCACCTCCTGAGTGCACCTGGTGAATCTGTGAATTAATCCGTTGGTTTCTACGAGCGGAAACATAGCTCAGGTATTGTTCGCCAATTATCCTGCCAGATGGCGTGCGTGAAGCGGCGAATCTAGGATTCAACAATGGCGAATACGACGTTGCTGTGTACTTTATGGGTGAGAGTTGCACCTTCCGGGTTAGGATTTGTTGAAGAATACGTCAATACTGATTTCTGGGTAGAAAAATATGCTGATTTTATTGATTTGAGTTTGAAATATTGTGAAAGTTCGTGAAACGTTTTGGGAAGTTCTGACGTAGCTTGAATAGAGTCCATAAGAATGAACACTGTCTTCGACAGATGCTGGACACACTTATAATAAAAGAATATCTTCTATGTAAGATAATACTTGAATACCATTCAACTTCAGACAAATATACGTTTCATATATTTCTTACAATTTTGAAACTTCAACCACAACAATCTCTGTTTATAATACCTCCTAATTATTCTAATTATTTCCACCACAATTACATGAACAATCGCACTTCATTGTCCAGAAATGCAAAAACAAAGTCCAATACTAAAATATTTCTACAAGTTGAGCCAATCCAAAGTCGTTACGTAGAACATCGATATTTGCAAGGAGCTAATGAAAACGCACATTTGCGAACAGCTTCCGAACCAATTCACGTAAGCCCCTGATATTGCGAAACAAAAAGAGATTGCAGATTACATTGCCATTATCCGCGCGTGTTTGCCATTCGAATATGTTCGAACGGCGATATTTTCACGATACTGCGCAAATTTTAGTTGAAAAAGGTTCCAAGGGCCGATGAAAATTATTCCGATGATCAGCTCTATTCCCAATTATTACACGAGCACGTATGCTCATGGTAGCGGGTGAAACGGAATTACCTTGGCGATTAAATGCACGGCAGCGCACCGTGTTCCTCCGGATCATTAATCACTTTGTAAATAAGCGGCGTTTATTTGATTACAGGCTGTGGCCGACGTACGCCAGTGCGCATAACAACCTCGGAACACTCACGGTGGGTGATCAAGCGGAGCAACACTTTTTGGCCGCCATACACGCTCAGCCTAGCCACGTGAATGCTCACTACAATCTTGGTCAGCTCTATAGGTAAGTGAGAGGAATGATAATACAAAGTAATAATTATTGCGTGGAATATGAAATATTACAACGCTCTGATAACGGAATAGCAAAGTCTGTCATCAATTTTGTATATTTTCATGACGATAGTACACTCTATAACATAAAATCGTCGAACGTTGTGGGTGAACAAAATTTGCTCATATAGAATTGTAAAATGTGAATCTTTTAGAACGAAATGTTGTTGGGAACTGTCAGTTGTCGAATTCCCTTCTTTTTATTTCGATATAAAATTTTTGAATATCGTGAATATAAAAATTTTAAACTTAGAATTCTTTTACCATGTACACTATGAATAGTGATTATATAGTGAAAAGTTCCAATATTCCTCTTTTGGACATGGACGTATTAAATATTGTAGATGTTAAAATGTATATATAAAAGAGTAGAATGTAAATTTTTTCTGTTCTATTCAATATAGAGCTATGGTTGTGTAATGAATGAATAAACTTTCTTCTTTTATAAATATCGAAATACAGAATTCAGGGTTTTTCATAATATTTAATCTCCTATGCATAAGGAAATTTATAATATCAGCGACTGTTGACAAAAAATGTTGAAAATTTCGAAATGAACTATTAAAGAGGTCACCATATACCATACACCAAGTTTTCTGTAAACTTGCTCCTCTGCAAAGAAACGACCCAGGCATTATGACGTATATACCTCTATTTGCTATCCGTGATACAAGCAAGGAAAAGGAGTAACTCGTCCATTCGTATGAAAAATAAAAGGAATTGACTCAGCGGAGGAACAACGAGTCGAAATCAAGGATAATTCTCGTTCCGCCGAATACCCGGAGGTTTAATGGAGTTTCCCGTAAACATAGAGGTACAGGAAGAATCCCGAATCCAACGCATTCTGTTTTATTAATGGGCATATCGAGGCAATGGTGTACCAAAGTGCACGGACCAGGATAAATTTAGCGTGGCAATGTAATTCTGGCGGCGTGGTCAAAATTAAACTTTAATTAACGCCTCCTGCTTGATAAATTAAAGTTTAATTGACGGCGAGGCGAGAGCGCGGCGTGGCGTGCGTGCGCTGCCATTGCTGGTTCGTCCGCTCGCCGCCAGGGTCGCTTGTAGTCCATTTTCGTCTGGTTCCGGCCCGCTGGTGAGCAACATCCATAAATTTTTTCACCTTCCCATGCGAAAGAATTTTCGCCGTGAAATTCCTGGGAAACGGGAGTACCGGATTACGTGGGCTTATGAAACGTGTTACGAATTGCAGGCTATGAGGGCTCGCTGAAACTGGCTCGTTTGCAGATCGCTGATAGAACTAGTTTCGCCGATAACGCTCGAACTAGTTTCGATGTTCGGCTGTTGAAATTAATGGCTGGGTAATTGCTACATTGATCATAGAATGGCTGGCATTTGCGTTGTTTTCGTTTTCTTACAATTAAATGGTTGTACATATTCGTGGGATTTATGAGCTTCTGTACTGGCGTGTGCGATTTGGCAGTTAGGTGTATTTGTGTATTCGCCGTTGGCAATCCTGTTTCGTTTACATCACGCAGCATTATTATATTTTCTCACGGTTTCTTTGTGCAGATATTTTTATGTGGGCTGTTTCAATTCCAATTAGCGTACAAATATTTGTTAACAAAGGGAAATGTTTTGTTATGGTTGAATGAAGGCGTAAATTATCGGGCTTCAACGTTTCAATTTTATTTGATGGATGAATATTTATACAGAGAAGAATATGTTTTAGTTTTAATAGATTTAAAATATTCTGAATTACTACGAATAGAATTTTAAATGGAAGTTTAATCGTTCTAATTCCTTCTATTCTATGAATATTTAAGAGTGAAGGGAAATGTTCCATTATGATAGAATTAAAATATTATTGCAAATTCCTACAGGAGTGGTTGCAATTGTAATTGTAATCGTTCTATTTACATTCCTCGATCATTATATACGTGCAACCAGGCCAGCATACTAAGCTGTATTTATTTTAGACTACACCCGTGCAAAGTTGAATTTAATTACACTTTATAACCAATAGCGAAACGCGCTGGTAAATTCTTAAGCAAAATATCCAATTATGGTGATATACAAATATTCAAATGATATACAATCATTGCCTCAATTTTGGGTTTATGTAGTTTAATATCACATAAGTCTTAATGTCCAAGTAATTTATGTCAGCGATTATTTACCATGGGAACATTTAATTTGGATACGTATCAATAACCTCGAACGATTCGAAAAGATTAATTAAAAGATGTACAGTTTGCGAATTATATATCCGTAAATCAATATCGACATTTTATTGCCAATTATTCTGTATAGTTTCATTAGGCTAGAATCTACCGATCATTCGGAGAAAATTATATTAGCCAATACAAGCGAAATTAGCGTCATGGGCAGAGGTAATTCACGGAACGATGAAGCACGTAGAATGAACAATGACGTACATGGGCACAGAGCGTTAAAAGCAAGTACAGGCATTCATATCTTGATTGTAATCGTGTTACACTTCGAGAGAGTGATCGTCATACATGATTGGAATAGGTTATCATAGTTAACGCGGTCGCAACACACGAAAATGTAATTGCCAATAAATCAATGCCGAAGATACATGAGCTGTATAATTCCAATTACACGAAATCAGTCAAACCTTCCCGTCCTTTCCTTCCTTTGTAATCATGAATCGAACCATTGTCATAAAAGATTTTTCTGTATTAAGCACTAATTAAAAGTTTTAAGATGTGGATGAGATGTTCACTTAGACATACACAGAAAATTATTATTTTGTTTGTATCACACCCCTATAGTGCACCCAAGGCCTTAGATGGATCGTATGAACACCTTGTTTCACAACATAACCTCAAATATTAAGTGACACCTCAAATACAACTGCAAAGCTCCCAAAGCAAACAATATTGAAGTACTGCATGTATTTCAAATTTTCCCACCAGTAAAATGAAAGTAACCTGTCTTTTAGTATAAGTCGTACATTCAGGATACCCCTTTCGGTGAGAAGATTGACAGTTTCCACAATCTACACGTATATACTTCTCAATTCATCCGTCTATCACTCTAATCTAGACATTCTTAATTCGTGCCAAAGAATTGTATTTTCCTCTCTGTGTGTTTGAAACAGTCTAACCTAACGTGTCATGTCATTTTGTATTGCAGGAAGACGAATAGGACCAAGGAATGTATACGGATGCTGCAGAAGTGCGTGTCTCTGGACCCAGCATACGCGCCAGCCTACGTGGTACTGGCGAGATTGGCAACCGGTCCAACAGCAGGGGTCCTTCTGCGACACGTGGTACGGCTGCAACCACGGAGTCCCGATCATCTCGCGGAATATGCTTCGTGGCTGTACCAGAATGGTAAGTAACCGCGGTGAAAGGACTAAATAGCTTAAGGAGGGATAAAGCCCCGACAGTTCCCGTTGCGACGGTCCAAAGTACTGGTTAAAGTAGTTTAAAGTAGCGAAACAACATCGAATCTCTGCCGCGTAACAGCCCCACTCGGCTTTATACTCACGCCAAATCGTCGTTCGTCTCTTCAGGCAAATGGCTGCCCTCCCTCAAGTACTATCTCAAAGCCATGGAGGTCTCGCCGTCGCACAGATCGTCGCTTCTGGGAACGGTCAGGATACTGAGGTCGCGGGGTCAGTGGCCAAGAGTTCATCAACTTATCACCAGGTGAGTGAACGCAACCGAAATGGCAAAGTCCAATTACGTGCTCGTGCAATTTCCGCTGTTTTTGGTGTAATCCCTGATACGTATCGAGTGTAAGGTTTATTGTGAATCAAGCGTGCGCGGGATTCAGGTGTCTAATAAGGATCCTACTCTAGTAATTATCGAACACGTATTCGTACCGTGTATGTGTGATATAGGGGTAAAATAGGTTGATACAATGACGGGCTACATTTTGATATAGTATAAGTATAAGGAACATTTTCTCAAAATCGTGGGACTTAGTTGGGAAAATGGTACAAGCCTTTTTCCGAAAGCTAGCTAAGTACAGAAAACACTTTACTAGGGTCTGTTATGGATTCCCAAGTCTTTGTTAGTGCATATAGTGACCTGTTTTAATCTTTTGAAGGCATGCAGATTTTACTACCGAAGTTTAACTTCCGCCTAAGTTTTCGCAACTTGAAGATTTTATCGTGATACCGCTACTATCCTAAGACCGCCACTTGACACTATCTTGTTGGAAATACCTGAGGTGTCCTTGATCCTTCTTAGTTATTAGGAATAGCAGAGTGCGGAAGATTAATTCTAAACATTTTACTTTCCAATTACTAAAAACTCTTAACATTTAACACGATCGAATTAGAATAATTATGACTAAGTCTCCTTGAACCTTACCCAAAGTCAGTGTACCCGACGAAACAAACTTGCACACGATCGCTTGAAAAAATAAACGAGAAACCAAAGGTAAGCAAACGAACGCGTTTGCAACTTTGGTAATCGCAAGGAACATTAATCGCAAATTTACCGGCATGCTGATCATCGCCCGACCCTCAGAGGTAAATTAGCACAAGTAAACGAAAACTCGGAGGAGAGACTCTTTGGTTCCGGTGAAAAATGCCAGGGCTACGACGGCCACTTACCGGTGCGCAAACGAATCGTCGGAACAGCTTAGCAACTTCAACTCTCGGGGTTGACGGGAAACTTTCATCCCCAGATGGCAATCGGGTCGTTTGCCCAGTTTTCCAACCTCTTTTCTCGCGAGCGTACATCTAGATACCGTATATACGTGGATTACTGATTGGCCGGGCGTTAGAGCCTTGCTCTCGCATCGACGTTCCCTCCTTCTCCCCACCACATGCACCGTAACTCAGTCGCGCCACCCGCGGCGCGAATAGCAACTGTAGAGCAGCTGCGGTAATTCGCCGACAACGACCCGTGTTTTGGAAGGAGACACTAATGCCCGGGGGCTCATAGACATAGTCAAATCAATTTTTCCTTGCCAATTGAAAATATGGTCTCGGGGATCTACGTGATCGCTAAAAGGCTAGCGCGTTTCCGTCAGAATTTCGTTTGGGATGAACGAATTTAGAGGATTGCAGAGGGTATATGTAGTACTTCCATTTATCTTTCCCTTTTTCAGTTTGCTTTTCGTTTTTTGGGAATCAGGGGGATGGGAACTGGGAGTAAGGGGAGAAGCGAGCATCATTCAATTAGCGAGTTTTTATGGGCTGTCGATTGACGTTGAAAACCTAGACGTTTGATTTAGGTGGATGCAAAAAATTTCGTGCCCATCCAGTTTTATTACTTTAGGAGGCGGTAGCGTTCTCGTGTCAGGTCCAGTGTGATTGACCGATATTCGGTGGTAATGTGTACGGTTTAGTGAAGTGTTGATTGGAATAGCGAGCGATTAATTCTTGGAAGGGATTGAACGATCGTGACAGTGGGGTAGTTGTATATGTTCTCTCGCTGATATATGGAATTGTTTTTTCTGATTTTATTTTATGCGCGTGGATTGTTGGAGGTTCATGAACTGATTGGAAAATGGATCACGGTTTCATAAAATTGATGAAAGCTGAAGATATAGATTATTAATATAAATTCAGTCAATTATAACAAAATTTATTCCTTGACAATTATTCTCCCATCTTTTTTTCTCTTTGATGTAGTGTAATATTACGTAAATTGAGTTAGAAAATATGCATAAGAGAAATACATACCAGGATTCTTTCGTCTACGTTTACTTTTTGAGACAGAGACATTAGTAAAGTATTTATGAAAATATAAATAAGAATAAAGTAACAGAAAGGTATGATATAAAAATTAGTCGACAAGCAAGAACATATTTCATTAAGAATTTTTAATAAATTTCAGTTATCTCACATATATAGACACTCCCCACTACTACAAGTTTCTCACACCGAACCAGCTCCCCTAATCCAGAATTTCGTTCCATTACAATACCCTAACCACACATAGACCAACCCCCACTCAAAACACACATGTACCTCGCATGCATGTGCTGCAACGCTTAAATCCCAACAAACCGTCAAATTCCGTTTCCTCCCTTCCTGGCCGTTCAAAAAACCACCGTGCAATCGAACTTTAACCTCTAACCACGGGCGAAAAAAAAGATCACCGTCATAATAGTCGACTCTCGACTCAGAGCGAGTGTTACCCGAGCCTGGTGCAGACTCGCGGTGTAGATCTGGAGGGCTGGTCCCCATAGGCGTGGTCGCGCAGCTGGTCCATAGCCCGTGGTCGATCACACGTGTGTCGAGAGGTTAAATTTCGGAGAAACAACGCGAAAAGTGACGGCTACTCTCGAGGGTGCGAGACAGGCGGGGAGAGGTCGATCAGGCCAGTCTGTGGGCGCCGGATGTCGGTGTGTAGCCACCACCACGGGCGAAGATTTCAATATGCACCGTTTGACAGATGTGCCACAGCATGCAGATTTTAAATGCAAATATAAATCTGCCATGCAGACCGCAGAGGGCTGGAAAGTGCGGTGGGGTTTGGCGAATGGTTCTCGAAGGGGCGCGAGCGTTTCAGGGGGTGTGTACAGCACTGGAAGGACCATTTCACACGCTGGCCGCGTTCGAGTACACGCGTACGAGAGTTTTCGTGGAGGCGGGGTGCAGAGTAATTACGATAGTCTGTCCCTTTGTTTTCCGCCCGTGAAAGTCTGTATTAGAGGGAGCAGCGAGTGTAGTTTGTGTCCAGTTGATAGTTACGAGATCTTTTTCATTAGCATCGGCTTAATGACCGTTACGAGTAGAACGGCACCTAGCTATTCCCCACCACACCATCAGTGAGGGCGGCGGAGTGGGGATGGAGTGGGGGTGACGCTTCGGGTCTTTGTTCGCGGTGTTTCGCCAACGTCGTTCGCCTTTTTCAGTGGATCGACTCGAGTATTGATAATAGGATGATGCACGTTCGGAAATGGCCAGGTAGTCAGCGAGAAGTGATTAAAGGTCGCTTCTTGATTAGAGGGACGCTCAAACGAATTTATTGTTCTGCGTTACTCGACGCTTTCCGGACTTCGATGGGTTTCCAGGAGTTACATATTCAACGAAGCTGTTGCTGTATTCGGCAGAAGGTACCTCCGTTGTTGTTAGAGAGAAGTTCATTAGTCGAAATTGTGGAACACTATATATTAAAATTCTGGTTTTGTTGTTTAATTTGGAGAGAAACGGTATTGCTTTTATTAACATGTAAATGTATTTTGTAATAATTTTTTTTCATTATACCCAGTGATATTGCACGTAAGGAGAAATGTGGATGAGAGAGATTTTCGGTGATGATGATTTTTCCGAGGTCATTCTAAGGTCGTCGAAATTTGTCTGCGTGTTATATGTTCTCTTACAGTGTTATATAAATTATATGAAACGTAGGTATAGTTTACGTCGCAAGACAGTGAAGTGACGCTTGCAAATATATTTACCTTTAATAACAATTTTTTAAGACGACTTTTAAATTATTCATTTAACAGCACTGATAAATATTCTTTTGAAGAAAAGGGAAAGAAAATTAATATATTTCGAACAACCCGGATATCACTTGCAAAGGAATGCGAATGAGTTGAAAGAACCGTTATTCGCCGAATAGCTCTTTTACATGTTCGAAAAATCCTATCAAGCCCAGAATAAATTTCTAGAGGCCTTCGTCGATGGATTTCTTTCACGGACGTCCAAAAACTCTAAAGATAATTTGCAAAGCAAATATCTTCGCAAGTAAAGGTTCTTCGTTTACGCATTTCAGACTATTTTAAACGTTGGTCAAATTTGCAAACTAGTCGTCTACGTCAGGTTTCATGCGAAAAGTAATATTATAGGTATATAGCTTTCGTAGAAACATTCGATTATTTAGCTGCTGTTTAAATATTAATAACGGTTGCTGAGTATTAATAGACGTGAAGATGGTAACATTTTAAACAATGCCAATTATTATCCAACGTTTATGCAACATTAATTTATTGGATGTTATCTTTGTGCCAGCATCTGTCAAATTACATGAGTTAATATTTAGTGCTTCCGAATTTCAATTACAGTAAATGGTAACAACTAAAATGAATAAAAAGGAATTCTGCTCGCATCCTAAACTTAATCTAACCTTATGAAATTTTGAGAGTTAAAGGGATCGCTTTCACGTCGCAAATTTGATCTAAATTTAGGTTAGGCTTCAGCCTGAAAAGTAAGAGAATGAAGTTCGTAGTACAACCCAACCTAAACCTGTTAGTCTTTAAAAGGCAGAGAACTAAGCATCGTATCAGGAACTAAACATGTAATTATCAAATAAATCTTCAGAGTTAGATAAATCACCATCAAGCCACAAACTTAACCTAAAATAGTTAAATCATAAAAAGCAAGGGCCGCGCAGTAACATTAAAAATCTAACCTAATTTTACCATATCATAAATGTCAAGAAAAAAAATTCACGTCATATACTTAATCTAAGGGTATTAAATTTTAAGAATTGAGGGAGTCACGATCACATCGAGAGTCTAACTTAAAATTATGGGATCGTAAAAAGCCGAGGAATCATTCCCGCGTCACAAACTTAGCCTAAACTTGCGAAATCCGAAAAGAAACTCGAATCTCTTAAATCTTTAAATCGATACGCCTTCGAGTACGATTGCTCAGTCGACGTGTTCACCACGGAAACCGATTGTTCGCTGAGCGTTATGCTCGCTTCGGAAAAATATACCACGACAGCCTCTTTGGTCTACG